AACCTAAAAATAAGCAAACACAATCAAAAGAACAATCAATGGTCAGTACTACGGTTGTCAAAAGTATAGAAAATCTTAATTGTATCTTGAATCTTAAATATTAATTGAAATGAAAACTAGTATTTAAAAAAAAACAATCACAGGAAAAAAATTTTACCTTTTCAGTTTTAGAATGATTTCAATGATAAGCCACCATACGGTAATAAAGAAAGTACAATTATTTTGCATTGAAAATAACCACAATTTAGACAATAGAATGTATCAAAAATGTGCCTATTCCATCAAAATAGTTTTTAAAATATTGTGATTAATGGTAATTAATAACATTTGCAATAACATATAATTTATTACCAGTACAAAAAAAAAAAAAAAGTTAATCTGTCTGCTTTTATTTCTTCTCTTATCCCTTGGTCAATTTCCATTAATTGTGTGGTATTGACATTGCAAGGCCCATGTCTAGAAAACATACAGAACATATTGACCTGCATCATATATAGACTGTGCCTGTCCGTCAGTTCTATCTCACTACTAGCTGCGACTTTAGTGGCTCGGAATAGCTATGTATCTATAGTGTAATGTTACATTTAACTTGCCTTACGTGGCAGGACATATCTTAACACTTGATATGAATTGGTCCGTCATGCGAGTGGTGGCTCTGCCTGGCCTAAAGATAGCAAATTCCATACACAGGGGGCTTTTTGACCATTTATGTCCTTTGCCATGCATTAAAAATAAAACAAACATGTCGCTGTGTAGAGCAAGGGTCCTGACAATATGCTTGGCCCAGAGTAGGAACATAAACGGAACAGGCCAGGGCGCGCTTCACATAAAGTAAACTACAGCTGCATGTGGCCTCCAGACACTTGTCAGCCCCATCAGGGATTCTCTGTCTGAATGAAAACACTGCCATCTTAAGACTTGTGCTGTATTAATGAATGGAAAAAATGCAGTAACTGTATGTAATATGTGTTACTCTAAGCGTAAGATACAGTTGAAGTGGGAGCGTGGAAGGTGAGGGCCTCTGAAGTGACTCAAGACACAGCCATGAGGCCACTGACTGTTTGTGTTGGCTGACACCTTCCTTACAGCAGTAATCCAGTCTTTCTCCAGCTGGCTACTACACCTCCCCCTGGCCCTTTGTCCCCCTCCCTTCTTTATGCTCTTTTCTTTTTCCCCAATGCCCTTGACTGTGAAAAGCCCACCTCTGTTGTTTTAAAATAAATAAAATTTGACTAAAGATTTTTGCATGTCAGTTTAGGGGGAATGGTCTTTACGTTGGTCTAATTTGTTTCTCCTTTTAAACAAAACCTTTGCTTTTTCTGGTAATGAAACCTCACACTGATGGTATCCGGTTAAAAAATTAATTTCCTGTGTTGTCCACTGCAAAGCTGTCGTCGTGTTGTTTAATAATTTAAAAAATGCCCCACATGCAACGTCAGTGATATTTAATTTACAAGTATGTCAGAGGCACCAATTGATTTATTATAGAAGGCCTTTAATGTGAACAGCTGTTTCCTGCTAAAAATAGGTCATGGGTCACATAAAATGACCTTGTTCCCTTTTTACTCACATTGGAATTGAAGGCTATATAATAGTAGGGGACAAATGTTAATTCAGAGAAGCCTTGTCAGTTAGCCTTTTATCTGGGGGTACTTATGACTCATATACAGGGCATTATTAAAAAAGTATAGTGGATGTTTCAAAAGCACCTAATTTTTACAGTTGATGGACACAAATTAAAAGCTCATTCAACTTTATTTTATAGTTTTTGTTTAAATGTCTGCCATGCTATCTGGCTCTCTTATCACCTCGTCTAGCCCTGTGAAGCGTGGCCGTGTGGCTCTTGTGTTCACAGTGTAAGTCTGAGGAAGGACTTAGGGAGTGGTTCTGGGGCCCTCAGTCGTGCCACTTCCCACCAAAGCCACCTCTGACCCCTGGTGCCATTAATCACTACGATCCTGATGGCCCTGTCCCTGGGGGAAAATCAGTCCGGGGCAAAGGATGATGGGAGGTGAAGCCTGCAGCCAATTACAGATTGGCTCTGAGCAGCCCAATGGACAAATCACAGCCTTACAAAGAGATGATACACCCAATAGATGCCTTGTGCTGACTGGTGTATATAAAGGATTGTTTATTCTGTGGTCTGGTGGTGCACTTGGACAAAATTATCAAGGAGAGCTGCTACTGTGTTCAAAAGAGATGTTTTGGACCCATCTAATTAAGTCTGTTGGTCTAAATGTCTCCAGGGCTGGAAACGTTGCAGATGTGCAACACCAAAGGCTGGCCGTGTGTTGATTCTCTCAAATTAGGCTTAGATTCTCAGGCTAACTCCCAAGTGTTTCTAATGTGATTCTTTTGGACAATTACAGCATTATCAAAGGTGCTTTCCCCTTGCTTTCACATGTGGTCAGAAGGTGTAGGAATGTGAAGCAGTGGTCACGTGTACACTAATTAATGCCGCTTTAGGTTTCAAAGCCTCTCGAGTGCTTAAGGTATAGATAGCTATTTGGTTTCAGAACATACACTATAGTTGTTTTGCTCCGTGTTGATGCATTAAAACAGGTTGGACCGGTGGGTCTCTAAAACATGAGTATAAAAATGTGTTGTGCATGAATTAAGGTCTAACTAACTGCTGGCCTGTCACTCTGGGGTCAGTGCTGTTGTGTCTCATTTGTTGTCCCTTCTTTGTTCATGGTCAGGCCAGTATGAAAACATGGCTTCCTGCTGACCTGCAGTTTAATTCACACATCAATAACCCCTGGCTGATCTTTGACCCCTGCAGTTGTACTAATTGTTTGATGCAGGATTGATGTCTCATGCTACATTAAATAACTGACATGGTTCTAGGTGGCTCTGTGTTCACAAACATGGCTGAAGACAAAGGTGTGAAAGGGGGCAAAAAACACTATAGATGTTGTCAGTAAATTTGCAAGGAAAAGTTAATGATGACTGTCATTCCTTCAAATCATTACCAATCAAGGAATTGGTAATGATTTGATTAGTATTTTTATTTCCACAGGTAAATGTGCGGTAATGTGGCTATTGATGCACAGATTTATGGTGAATAGAATTGTCATCGTGTGTCCATGAAATGGTGTATACCACTTATAAAGCTATTTTATCTCATGTCTTTTGTTGTAATTGCTGGCTTTTAGTAGTGAGTAGGAATAGCATACTGATAAAAATGTGTATGCTGATAGTTAGGGATGCAGCAATACTATTCAATAGTAATATTGAATCATATGACTTATACAACACCTGTCTCAATACTTACACACCCCACTTTAGAAAAGAATCATCTGATTCTGTATTTGTCATTCCGAGAAGTTATGAACTTTTAAACATTCTACTCATGTTTTTTACTTTGATATGCATATTCATAATCATGAATATAGTTTGTTTAGTTTTTTTCTTCTGAGGCCTAAAACGTATTAAAATCATATTGATATCATTACCCATATCATATCAAGATAAAAATGAAAATGTGTGTGTGTAAATTCTTGTATGGTAAATTCAGTTAAGTTCCAGACGTTCAAACATGTGTCATTTCATGCTAATGTTTAGTTTATTTTTTAAGTTTCAATTAATGATTATATTAATTAAGTTAAATATGTTTTGCTAAACATTTAACCTAAACATTGCTCCAACTTCTTAATGGAACGCTACTTGCTCTATACTGTATAATTTTAGTAGGCAAAAACCTATTAGCTAGTTTATACATTAAACTAACAATAATGCGGCCTGGTTAGAGCCGCGTCATGCCTCGGGAGCATAGCAACACCTCCCTGATCCCGTTCGTATGCATGTCCATGTGTTCCAGCAGGCCCCTATGCACAGGGATTAAAGAACTGTTGCTAACTTAAGAAAATGAATCAGGGCTAATCTTCATGGCCTAATCACACTGCTATTTTACAAAGTCATTAATGAGTCCAGTTCCAGGTTAAGAGCAGCCTGTGGTGGGGCTGAGGGATTGGCTGGCATTAACAGTGAGGGCAAATCTGCGCGAGTCCCCTGCTCTGGACCCAACCGTACTAACAGAAGAGGGGTGTGGATTTGCTTAGTACAATCCTCTAAATGAGCTTCATTATACTGGCCTATCCCGGAGTCCCGCCTCCCCCCCTCCCACTCACCCACCTAGCGCTGCTCGTGGATTAGTAGGCCGTCACAATCCCCAGTCCCTACCGCTTGCTCCATGCTTACACTGTTGCACATTGCACTTTTTGATTCTCCCTCCCTCCTTGCACTCCCCACCCACACGCTTACCACAGGCTTCAGTGCAGATAAGCTGTTGACAAGATTAATGCATCTGTATCAAAAGTCTAGAGCTGCTTTGCTTTGTGTTGCTGCGAATCCCCTTTTCCAGGTCAAGCCAGATTTCTTAACTGGGCTAATATGTGTTCAAGGCAAATCTAACAGGCAATTAATAGAATTTGAATCAAAATGGAGATTTTGTAATTTCTAATTGTCAAAGATAAGCTTTGGTCATTTTAATCGTGAGGTATACTGTGGGAGTAAAAGCATGTGGTTAAGAGCAGATTTAAGAAGTTGTGTTTATGTTCAAGTAATTCATTATTTGTTTTTTAATAATACAAAATAAAATCTAAAATTATGATCTATCAATATGAGAAACTATTTTGTGATAATTCTTTTTTTTTTTTTTTTCTTTTTTTTTTTTGCGTTTGGCCCACATTTTACATTTGGGCTTGTCATACTTTTCAGATCTGTCTCAAGCTGCCACGGAAACAGTCTAGAGAATGTAAAAAGATTGTAATGGATAATGTCGTTTATGTTTGTGCTTGTCACAGTAACTGCCTTTTATGTATTTCCTGCTAGGTGCCACTATGTCTCAGCAGTGTGCATACCTGACAAAATTTGGGTTATGGTTTCCATTATCACCAGAGCAGTACTAGTCCATGTTGGCTTTAATTATGCATGTGCAAGCTATTCAGTATGTGATGCCTGCTAATGATTTGTGCGTTTGTGTGTGCTTTCCTCTGCAGGGACCCCGGTCAATCGTATCCCCATCATGGCCAAGCAGGTCCTGGATCTCTATATGCTGTATAAACTAGTGACGGACAAGGGAGGACTCGTGGAAGTTATTAACAAGAAAATCTGGAGAGAAATCACAAAAGGACTCAACCTGCCTACCTCTATCACTAGTGCAGCCTTCACTCTGCGCACACAGTGAGTCTTTACTCCTTCCACACAAAGCACCCTGCCAAATTCACTCAAGACTGAAGATTCGGTTCAGGGCTAATCTTAGGCTAACCCTAATTTAAATAAGGCACATTACAAGTGTGAATGCCAGAAACAAAGAGCCTCTTCATGGCTCTGTGTATTTCCCATAAACCCAACTGTATAAGGATTTGTGTGTGGCTCATGCTTCTCCATATAGACGTCAATACTGTGTGTTTATCTAAACACAAGTTTGTTTCCTGGCCTGGCCGCCTTCCCTTTTCACATTCAATCTCTGCTTCCATTACATCACACATAGAGTCATTGATCTGTATAGATTTATTGACATGATTTGGGTCAGAGTTCACCATGACTAAGGTGGGGTCTGATTGACAGGTCTCACTCCAAGCCCCAGCTAAAAGTATCTGGCTCATGAAAGAAAAGGTTTAGCAGATGTAACACCTCCATCCAGTCTGCAGGGCAGACAGCAGGCAGCAGGGTGCCCTAATGAACCTTTATGTATTTTTAATGTCAGTGAGCTGTTGTGTAGCATCATTCTAATGGATACAGCTCTTAACTTTGTATCGATCCGCCAGTGTTGTTGTTCCACCATTATGCAGTCAGCATACATAATAGTTTCTGTTTCTATAGCATGAAAAAACATTCCTCCGCTCTGACTTTTCATACTTGTAGATCAAGACCCCATGGACATACTCAGAATGCAAAACATGTTTCGCACTATTTACATACCAGGTGCACTTAACTACTTTACTTTTACCAGTTCTGATTTACAAAAAAAAAAGTATGTTTTAAATAAAGGAATAACTCTCTAGTACCCTTTCTATTCTGAAATTTTCTCTTACCAGTAGAATAAAGATGAGAATGATACAAACTGCTCATCAATTTATTTACCCAGAAATTAGATGCTAATGGTCAGGGGCTTGGTTTCAGGGAGTGACCCGTTTCAGCAACCATTACATGTTGTGTGTTCCAGTGCTTTTAATTACTTTGTTTGTTTTCAAGGTACATGAAATACCTCTACCCTTATGAATGTGAGAGGAAAGGCCTGAGCTCTCCAGGTGAGCTTCAGGCAGCCATCGATAGTAACCGCCGCGAAGGCCGTCGTCCCAGCTACAGCAACAGCCTTTTCCGCTTCTCTCCCTCACCCAGCACAGCTCCCCATATCCTCTCGCCTCCCAAGATGCACCTCTCTGCTCTGGGCGCTGGGGCAGCAGGAGCCCTGAATGGCTTGCAGCCTTCACCAGGGCCATCTCTGAAAAAAGGTAGATGTTCTTACAAATGTAAAATATTTTCATAAGCTTTATTTATTTTTAACTTCAACTTTGACCTATAGACTGAGTACAGCCTGACTGCGAAACAGCTGAAGCTCAAATTACTTTTTTGTTGTGTTGTACTGCCCCCTGTTGCAGAGATGAAGTGCATGCACCTTACGAGGTGCCACAGACATGTAATCTATTAGGCACTCAGACATTTTTGCTATTCTTGTAGATGCTTTTTAATTATTCATGATTGCACTGTGTGCCTTTTTCATAATATCAGACCTACTTTGCAATTTGATTTAGTCAAATGATAAACTTTTTGTGTTGCATTGTTACATTGAACACTTTGACTTTTCCCAGAAGACCTGACCCCTTCCATTATGGCAGCCAGACCTTCCATGGCTTTGGCCCTGGGGCAGCAGCAAGTTGCAGGCCTGGCTCGAGCTGCTACTCTGGAGCAGCTGAGGGAGAAGCTAGAGACCAGTGGTGGAATGGAGGGACCAGAGAGGAAGATGGCTCGCCTAGCGGAGGAGCAGCAGCGCCTCATGCAACAAGCTTTCCAGCACAATCTTTTGGCTATGGCATCTCAAATGCCCATGAACCTGCGGCTTGCAGCACCTCCCATTACTACCAGAGGTCAGTGCAACGTAGAACTACTTGAACTACCAGTAACACTTATGCGCAGGCACATTTCCTTCTTATTGGGCATGAAAGTGGCCCTGTCTCATGTCTTGACAATGTGTTGTTTCTTATTGTTTCTATAGAAGAGAAGCCACAGGACATGTCTCTGAGTATCTCCACCAATGGGAATGCCAGCATCACTGTCTCAGTGGAAGTTAATGGCACAACCTACTCAGGTTTGTCAGGATTTTAATGTGTATATGTGGCGACTATAATGCCTTTGTGAGCTTATGATTAAACTTAGTGTTTCTCTATCCGTTAGGAACTCTCTTTGCCCAAAAGACTGGAGTTACCCCTGTGGTCTCTGCTGCTGCTGCCTCTGGCTCTCCTGCTGCTGCTGGCACAAGCTTTGGCTTCTCTGCTCCAGCTGCTCACACCCTCAGCCCTTCGTCCTCCTCTTCATCCAAGGGTCCTGGCTCGGCTGAGCCTCTTCCTGGGGGATCTCCCTGATTTGAATGGCCTCTCTTCCACCTCGAGGTCCAGCATGAATATTCAGTACAACGAGAAATCGTAAAGAATAACTGTTGCACAACTATTACCTCATCAACCCTGTCAAAGTCTTGGCTGTCTAACATTGATCACAAAGCCTAAGAATATTAAGACATGTGCCCAAACACAGCACGCCTATGCACTCATCCACACAGCATACAAACACACACACATTATCCTACTACATAAACTGATACACACATTACATCCCACACATACCACTAACCATACTAATGTTAACATACAAGCTAGACACAATCATCTCAGCCAAAATCCACTGACAGGTTTCACAACTGAACTTGAAAACTTTTATTAGGACTGTCTGTTTGTTTGTTGCCATTGTGTCATCTTTTTGACTTTGTGTTTTAGAATGATTTTGTTTTAGTTTTTTCTCTTTTTACATACCTCAAATCAAGTAACCTGCAGTGGTGTCTTTACCTCAGGAGCTGTAGTATATTTAACCCGAATCAACTTTATTTTTGTATTCTTTTTGACCTAAATGCAATCAGGGCAAGTCGGGTCCAGTGGAACTTACTTACAATAACTTTTGAACTGGCAGTTTAGTTTTTCCAAACATGCTGTCGCCTTTAGCTTAACTGAGAAATGATCAGATGCTGTGGACCAGCACATTACATACCTCCAACTTTCATACCTCCGCCCTGATCATGGAACTTAAAATGCATTGCACACAGCTTCCAGATATTAAATTCTTGTTAGCTGTGTGGCATATTATATGTAGAGAGCCACATAAGATTTATTCTCTTGCAGGTCCATATAGCTGTCTGTAACTGAGTAATATGCACAGTTAATTGGCCAATAACACTTGTTGTCTCATATTTTGCTCTCTTCTCTATCCAGAGACTGAATGTCACTCAGCTGCATATTTAACCTGTATATTCTTAGACCTTCTACTGGCCTATCACAAAGGGCAGCTTTCTCAGGAAGCAGTGTGATAATGACAAGGCGTCTTTATGTTAAAAAGGGTCATACCTGAAGAACGCACACAATCCAAGATTACCTCATCTGACTCTCCCAAAAGGAGAGCCGCACTACATACCTCATATGGCCGCAGAGCCGCCGAGACTTGACACCCCAGCTTGTGAAGGAGATCCTTCCTGATCTATCGTGAACATAGCAACGCACTGCTGCTGGTTTTGGGGACATTTTGTATACCAAACTAAACTAAGGTGGAGGAGCACCCGTTCTCCATTTCCATATTCATTGTATGACTTGTTTTTATGCCTGCTCCCTTTTTCAACAGTTTTGTCTATTTTCTTTACTTTGTTTCTTAAATTTTGAAATGTCCGAGTGATATACCTGGATTTGTATCAGGGAAGAGGAAACTATCTTATTAATTCCTCACAGACTAATACAGAAGTATAGGATTTTGTTTTTTAAGATCCAAGGTCATGGGGTCAAAACGCCAATCTTCTCACCAACCTGACTGTGAACATCACTTGACACGTCTTCTTTCACAACAATGTATTGATATGCATGTGTACAATCATTTGATCAGCGGTATGCCACCTATTTGCTCTGGTCACTCTTTGCCTCTGTTTATTGCACAGCTAGATACCAAAGACTAGCCAGTTGTTCTAAATCCTAAATGCCCAAACAATCATTTCTACTCAGGCCAGTTATGGGCTTACCATGGGCTGCTGTGATCCACAACAGGGCAGTCACATAAAGGCAGAACAGATGATCTGTTGATTTTAAATTTCCAAGAAAATAAATCTTCAGCATTTTTTTTCCACTTTTGGTGGGATTTGGCAAATTTCATTGAGTTGACATACTTGGTGTGTCTTTATTATTATATTTTATCTAGATTTCCTTACCCATTTTGAAAAAAATATACTAGATTGTAATCTAGTTAATAAAGCATATTACTTCAAAAGTTTTTAATATTAAGATTATAAATTGAGCTGGCCACATCTGTGTTGAATGTGAGGCATTTAACCGTTAAGAAATCTCTGGCCCAGTTTGAGCGGCCTTGTTGCTTTTATTAGACTGTATTTATGCCATTTAGCATCAGATTGTTCAGAATTTTGCAGTGCAGATCCATTTATGTACACCTCAGCACCATGTATGACACATGACTGTATTGTATAAATGAGAATATAGTAGTCGCTGCCTTAAGTAGTTGTTGGTGAGATCTGAACATTGTAGATTTCATCATGGGTTGTATTTTCTCTTCAAGCTTAATCCTTTGGAGAGTAATCATTTGAGGCAATTCAATCATACTATTAACACCAGTTGCTGTTTGTTCTGTTGCATAGAAATGCTATTTATTTGTGTTCAATGTTTCATGTAAATCATGGTTTTAGTAACAGTTGGGCTAAATCACTAAAGCCATGTTACTAAAATGTCTATATCCTGGCTTCTAATTTGATCTGCAAACAGCGGATGGCTGATAGTGTAGCTTCACTGCCTTTGAATGTGTGTTTAACTTTGTGTGAGTGTCATTTTGAATGAGTAGTGAATGGGACATAAATAACTTATAATCAGGAATTATACTTAGGAAACCAATCAAAACATTACAGCTAGTGCCACAGCCAGTCCAGTGATAAAAATGCATTTTAAACGTAGAGTGTAGCTTTTTACAAATGTTTCCTGCTACTAAAACAATCATTCACTTGGCTCGGCTGGCTCAGGGCACTTGGCGCTGTACTGTTTGTGTGGGTGATGCCTGCACATGTGAGAGTGTCTTTGGAACACCCCCCCCTACCTCGTCATACCACGATACCTCAGGGCAGTGGGCTGCATTGCAACTGTTGCATTTGATGCTTTGAGGGACGAGTACTGACAGAAGCTGCAGTCATTTTGCTGAATGCTACTTAGGACTGACTTGGGTTTTGTTGTATTGCTTTTTTCCGTCAGTAACTGCAAGCAAGGTCTCGTCACTCAGGAAGCTGTGAAGTATGCAGAACCTTTGTCTCAGATGGAATTGATTCAGTTCAAATTTCTAAAAACTAACCTGATCTGTGTAAAACAGGTGCATATGCAAGTGGTTATTGAATACCTCATTTATCAATTTTATGTTGTTTTTGGCTTGTACAATGCTCCGTATATTAATTCAACTGTGGGGTTTGTGCATATTTTTGTACTGTTATTATTATGACATGATAATAATGATGATATACTGATATTATATAGTTTTTCTCTTGGATTAAACAAACAAAAGTAGGACAAAACTTGTGAATGCTTGTTAAAACTGGTTTGTGCTGATTGTATTTAAGGAGCACTTTTCCAAAATGGTTTTCACACACATTCGGTTTTGTTCTTATTAGTAATATAAAGATATGGTTCTCAGGGCTTTAAACTTGTATGTCATGATAAAGTTTTACTTTATAGCTTATCATTGTGTCAGTGTGTTCTTTCCTTTTGAGTCGGGCTTTCCCACAAATTTACAAATGGAAAATCATGTGTACATTTACTAGTGTGGTAAAGGCATATGTAGAGAAATAAAACAAGACTTTATTCACTGGTTCATTTTCACAAGACAGGCAATGTGACATTAGTAACTCATGATTCATGTTCACAGTATATCTAATGTATTGGATTTGGATAGACACTTTAAAAGTCAAAACTAAAACAAACGTACTAATATTAAATGATGTTACTTGTCTGTCTAAAAGAACAAGGCTACTATGGTTCAGCAGTTTAACACGAGAAACCACAAGCTATCAAGCCATCATGAGGTAGTATGCAGTTACAAACGGGAAACATGTAAGTTGTGTTGAACCATAGGACAGTCCCAGGCTCAAATATGTAATGAAATTAAAGATTTAATTTACAGAAGGAATCCTGTTTGAATCTTATGACACATAAATCTATCCTGAGATATATCTTTCAAATACAACTTAAAATAGGCTACTGTAAAAAATGCAAGAACAGAAATGGGTAAATGGTCATATTTTTCTACAGCAGTATTCTCAATGTCTGTTAATAAAATGTTCAGCTCTGGACTAAAAGTGTCACTATGAGAGTTACCCAGAGTAGTGATCCAGGAGTAAAGCCTTTAGAAGAGTCTTTCACTGTGAGCTGGTGCTGAGCCAGCTTACGCCTGTATCCCTGCTCCTCCGACACACAGGTGTATGAGCCTAAGTGCTCTGGCCCCACACTGGGGATGAGCAGTAAGCACTGGTGCTCATCCCTACTGCAGGATACTGTTGTTGGTCTGTCGTTATGGTACCAGGTGTAGTTGGCATGAAGGGATGATACCGGACACTCAAAAAAGTACCGAGAACCAAGAGAAATGAGAATCTGGCCCACATCATCTTTTGACTCATCTGCTGCAGATACTGCTACAGTACAGTAAAAATACAGTAAATTGTAAGCTTAAATCAATGTATGGACATAGCTTTCTTTACTAAAGAACTTGGCAACACCAAAACTCAATCTATTTGCCATACCTTTCACTTGATTTGCTTGAGCCAATGAGGGGCACATGGCATGGTCCCCGTGTTCAGTGTCTTGCAGTGACCCACTGTTAAACAGAATATATATTTGCCTTAATTTTTAACATACCTTGTGATATTTATTTTTAGCTGTCTTGGGTAGATTGCATTTTCCCATATCTTTTAAGTCAGAAGCAGTGAATCAGCTCTTCTTGATTTTACTCAACTACTTACTGGTATATACTGTATAGTGAAGCTTACAAAAAACAAGAGCTTGAAACCTCTCACTTAGAATGTTTTGACTGTTTGTGAAAGCACACTTCTGCTAACCACGATTCCAACACTTAGTTGTACAAATACCTGCAGATATACTGCAGAGTTTCATTTAGCTTATGTATGTGGCTATGATCACATTTAAGACTTTTCTCGGAAGTTCTTTAGTCATGAGCTGTCACAAGACTGATCTTACAACATACTTGTTATCATCATCTGTGGGTTTCTTCCTATCTAGTGATCTACTATCAAACCATTATCAAAAAAACTCCACACCCATTTTGTAACATGTTAAATTCTAAATAAAATTTTACCCAAATGTGCCTGTACATTTTCTATCCAATCTTATGCCTTTTCTGGAAATGGTTTTCTGTAAACCAATTGGGAGGAATGCCATGCCATATGTTTTTTCTTTGTTTAGCTCAAAACAGCTGACAGGGTGGAATTATAGACACTGTGCTGAGCTAGTGAGATACTGAAAGGCAGGATGAAACAGACAGTCAAAGGTTATTATTTATGCCCAACATGCATAAAGTTTAGTGTCACTGCATTTGGACTGAACTAGTTTAATCTAGATGTTGTAATCATTGCCACATCCTTTATACATTTTGTTTACGTGGCTGGATCAAATGTCCATACAAGTAATTTCATGTACCAAATAGTTTATGATATATTATATTATGTTATATAACCCAGCAATGTTACACCTTTATTAAAGATGCACTGTGTAACTTTATCAGTGGTGGGTCCATAAATACTTTGAAAAACATGCCTTCTTATATGAGTGGGGCCGCCTCCCCACAGATCTGGCTTGTAACTTAGCTTGGTAGTACCACATGCTTGTTTAAATTAGATATTTGTTTATTTGCTTGCCTGTGTGTGCAGTGTGAGACCTGATTCCATTTTAGACATACAGATGACTTACTCTTTCGTACACTGGCCTTCGCTCCAGCCACAGTAAGGATCTCTGGCCATGATGCACTCCTCACAAGAGTCTCCATAGCCTTGACAGTTTGCCACATCCACCTGGGCCAATTCAGTCCTAGAGGCAACATACAGCCTTCTCTGCAGTAACACATAATAAATGCAGTTCAATGTTGGCAATAGACTTTTGCTGGTATCACAATATGTAAATTTGTGTGGTCCTCACTCACTGTGGAAGCATTTAGGTCCAAGCTAACAATGTGAGCTCTGTGGTTGAATGGTCTATATTCAGCTATCATAAAGGAAATAGCATCTGTACCAGTCTGCTTGTGCATGACTTTATGAACCATGCCATTATCTGTTTACAAGGAAGAAAAGTTAACTTGAAAAATCCAGTAACAAGTACATTTCACACACATTCACTCACGCAAACCCACCCACATGATTTACTAATGTGTCATTTAATCTTTATATGGTAATTACTTACAGCTAGCAAATTTGTTAAGTGACAGTTAAAGTGCATAGTGCACCTTTAACTTTTTCAGTGACCAAACTTGTTTTCATGACATGTAATTGCTTTGCTTTTACTATTCCACAGAATGGCAATAAACATATTTGTCTTAATTGAGACATGTGAGCAATGCCACCAGGCCAAGTTACAGGTAATATCTATAGAGCCTATTCACAGTAAGAATGTACTTTTTCTGTAACTGAATACTTACAAAATAGGTGTTACATACCATACACTGGAACATTTCAGCACAGCAATAACATTATCATGGAAACAAGGAGGTGACAGGCCCCCTTGTACCAACAGCTTACTAGCTTTCTCTAAATGAACAACTCCTTTGATGTTTCCCCATCAGGTTTTAGAGCCCACCACAGCACTGAGACTGCTCTTATCAAGGTGACAAATGACATCCGCCTGAACACTGAAACAGGCAAAGTCCCAGTCTTGACTCTGTTAGATCTGAGTGCTGCTTTTGACAGTTGATCATGGATCCTCTTACAGAGACTAGAGGACTGGGTCTGCATCTCTGGTACTGTACTAAACTGGTTCAAGTCGTATGTGTACCAATGGATCCACTCTGCCACTGCATCCAACAGATCAGTGCAAAGCAACTTTCTCCAGCTAAAGATAAATATAGTGCACCTTATATATATTGGTATGATTTCTTACACATACAAAAAGTTCAGGGTAACATGATGCCAACTTTCTACAGAAAGGCATCCGTGAGAGGAACCCAGGTGATGCAATGGTTAGTGCTTTGAGGTGTTAACCACTGTGAGTAACCACTGTGTCACCATGTCACCCAAAATATAACTGAGTTTGTTGTTACTAAACTGAATAAATTGGGCTCTGTCTTTCACATGGAAGATCTTTGAAACCACTAATCAGAAGATACCGAGTTCTAAAGTATAAAGTATTGACGTGAACAAGCTGAAAGCAGGAAGTATAGGAAAATACAACTGACATCATTTAGATCAACTGTGTGATAGGAAGTTATGCATCATCTATAAATACATTTCAAAGAACAACAAGAGCAACAGAAGATTGATGCACTACTTTTTTGATGCACTACTCACGCAATGCAATAAACAGGATTGTGTGGTTGTCCAGGAGGTTGTGAGCAGTGATTCGAGTATAGTTGTGGTGACTTATCAGAAGTGGCCCAGAACTGTTCACTGGCTCCACTGGCTTTTCCATTTCAGAATTTGCCTCTACTTGCTTCAGGATGTTGATGCTGAGTTTGGTGCTGTCTGGTACACACTGAGGTAACAAGAGTACATTTTTAACAAACATTTGCAACATCTACTTAACTTCCTGATTTGTTTGTACCATTCTAGGTCTATCCGGTTGCATATTTGAGTTTTTGAATGGAGAGGTTTTAAAGATGCGGTCAATATCTTGTATCGTGTAGACACACACTGCACTCATTCCCCTGAATAACATAGGATAAGAGTTAGAAGTGTCAATAACAAGTCACCAAAAATGTTTAGCGCTGGGTTTAAAAACAACATAAGCTCAACAAAAGAGGAACCTCTTAGCTGGTTAAATGCTTGCGGTTTGCTGTTCTACATGAATCCACAATATCAGCATGAAACATGCTCTTTACCCATGAACTTACCTGATACAGCTTCAGTTAGGTTAAATGTCCCATATTACGCAAAAATTGACTCTTGTTACCTTTTAGTCATATTAGAATGCTGTTACCTCCTCAAAATCAGAGTTGTATATTGTTTCATTCACACATGTTGATTAACTGTTTATTAGCCTGTCCACATCTCCAAAGCTCAAAATGCTCTGTTCCACCTTGTGATGTCATGAAGCAGTAGTTTTCAAGTTAATGGAACAGAGTGTGTTCTAGTTAACGAAACACTGCAGAGTTTGAGTGTTAAAGATGTGTGAATGAAACAAGAAACAGCATTATAACAACCTTTAACTTTTATAATGACAACTAGAAGCTGTGTTCCTCTTAAAGCCACAAATAATACAGAGCTGCGTAGAGGTGTACCATTCATTTTTGAAAAGTCCATAGACTCTTGTGTCCTGCCAGTGGTCAGCTTCTACTGTGACAATATCCACCAGCTCTGTGAAATGGTGTTTTTGGTCCTTTTCACCACAGAAAAGACGAGCATTCAACTGGGATGTCCAGGTAAACTGCAGGCTGCTCTTAGGGCCACCATTATCTATCTGGAGCATAGGAGAAAATTATATTTTTAGCATCAAAACAAAAACATGTATGGAAAGCAATAGTTAATATCTACCATGCAAATCTGTGTTACAAACGGCATCCACATGTCACTGTAAATGTCAGCATCCTTGTTCTTCTCATTGTAAAATCCATAGATCTTATCTTGAAGAACATTATTTTTGCGCTCCTGTTTACTTACTATTAATTTAATATAGTGCTGCTCTAAAGGCAAAATGGACATGTTTACTGTTATGATGAAACCTCAGGCTACCCCCATAAAATTTGTTATGTATATCAAGTACCTTCATCATGGTTTGCTGGCCTGACAATGTGTTTTCCAAACCTGTGAATGCCAATAAAGTCTTGAGATCCATAGTATGTGATGTAGAGATGAGCACCATCTGGACTTTCTGAACAGCAAAGGCAAAATTACAATTTCTAAATTGAAGTGTGACTAAATTTACTGGGTTTTAAGCTCCAGTAACATGATATCGACAAGAATAAGTTGAAGAATGAATGAATTTCAGTGCCCTTCTAAACTTATAACTGTTGAGCTGAGATAGATTTAAGAGCAGATAGTGCCTCTTCAGCCATAAATAAAAAGTATAAAATATAATAGCACTTAAGGATAGCATGTATATTGTGCTACATGTGGAAAAACTTACCAACAAAAGCAGAGGCTTCACCTTCCTTTATAACAGAATCTTTCATACGTTCCATTATTTTGTTCACTGTATCAGAAGGAGTGCATTTGACTGAATGTTCTGAAATAATCTGTATCAAAAACACAGTTTAATGTTAAAGTCATACAATTAAATTAAATGCAACTTGAATAACCTTTGTACCATATTACAGCAAGCAACATCTTTCCCATTAATCCCACAGGCAAATATTTGGTTGGCTCCTTGCCTTTCATGGATGATAGTTAAGTTGTAAATGCAAACCTAAATTGTAGACAAGTAGATATAATAAATGTCTGGCATGATACAAACAAGAAGTAAATAGGCCATATTTTGTTGAAAGTCTACTGAGGCTGTATACTTTGGTCTGCGCAGCATCTCTTGAACATTCACCCCATTCCACTGACAAGTCCACATGCATCTGCGAGAAATTTACACAGCTTTTGGCGATAGTGACACAAGATAAAAGGTAATTGTCTTAAATTATATCCGAACCATATAGTATCAGCCATGAAAAACACCAAACCTTTTGTAAACTCGTAAAGTTCATTAGACGTATTTGTGTTGTTCCAATAGCTGTCACCGCATCTTCTTTTTCAATTAGGATTTTCACAGGTCCACCGGGCAACCGCCGGGTCTCTATAGAGGTATCTGCCAAAAATGATCCACCGTAACGTAAATGTTAGTTTCATCACAAAGGAGACATTTATTTTTGTCAATTGGACAAACGTTTCTGTCATTAGACTTCAAAACTAGAGTAGACTTCTTATCACCCCAATGTTAACCTACCTCTCTCTGAGAATATCATTCGCGGTCGCTCCCCAGTGGTAGAAATGGCACATAATAATAACACCGGTAAATATTTCTGTGCATCTAAACCACTCATCTTGACGACGGTCCAAACTCTGTTGTAAAACTAACGCGTTGATATAGCCTACTTCTGTAAACCACAAGGGGCGGGTGACATTTAGTTTTGGTTCCTATAGGCGTTCACCTAAACCGCAAATTTTACTTTTATGAGTAGGTGAGTAGGCTCGATTAGTTCGGTGTACCTTTTTTATTTTATTTTATTTTTTCATTAATAGGCTACTTATTTCTTTAATCAATTCAGCCGCCAAGTACAAATCTAGATCTATCCCTTGCACCTTGTGTGTCAAGCGACTACCGGCATACGACACAGCAGGCATGTAACTGTCGGCCAGCAGATGGCGCTATTATGCTTGTTTTAAAAGGAAAAGCAGCACGGTGCTCTTCACTAGTACAAACTTAGTGCATTATACAAATGTATTGAATTTTGAAACTGGTAAATTATGTCCGCACTGTCAGAAACACACACAATTCCTTTTAGGATGTATTTGCCAAGCCTATTCTTTTCAGAGCAAAATACAGGGCAGACCTACATGACTCATAAAAATTCATTAGATTAGTCTATAAAAAGTCGTAGTTTAGCAGGATATACTAGTTTGTATGAATAATTTCATATATACTTAAACTGCATTTTAGTTCATTTTAATCTAATTTCCAATCTAATTTGGCTAATTTCTATCTAGACTGGACATGGGCTCTTATTGCGTCATACGTAGATATTCGTTTGTTGGATGATTCCTGCAGTTCACGACAGTGGATATGATGTGTTGCTCAGCCTCTGTCTTGGTTAAAAAGCTCCATGCCCAGACTGTGGCTCAGAGCGCACGCTCCCATGCGCACTGCAATGCATCTGAGGGTCTGAATCCTCAGAAGTTCAAGTGGAAGAGACATGTCACACTACACGCTTGGAGGTAAGGGGATTTCTTTCACATTATGTTTGGCTTTGTTTAGACATTTGTTTCGTATTTGTAACAACGGCCAGTCCTTTCACGCTTCGTTCAAAAATCAAATGTTACAAATTGGAGAGGTTCCAGCGCTCCTGCAGCAGTATAATGGCTCACAACAGTGATGCTGTATTAACCGTATGCCTATGTTTGAGTATAGTTTGAATCTGGGCCATCTGGATTATTACTGCAGCAGTTATTGCATCACACTGCAAGAACCCACTCTCAAAGGCCCTGTGTAACAGTTAGTTGTAATAGTATTAGTTTTTTTTTATTTATTTTATTTTTTTTTATGTATTTTAGCTAGTGTAAAATATAGATGAGCGTTTATGTTTGCAAATGGTTACAATATCATTCAACCTGAAGGGCACTTAAAGCTTTTTAAATGGTTTGCACCCATGCACACTCACATATCAGTGTAAACAGACAGTGGAGGCAAGGCAGGTTAAATGTTTTGCCGAAGGAAACAACAGCAGTGTGCACAGGTGGCAGCAAACCACCTCCAAACATGGAGTTAAAACAATTGCCTTTGTTAATCTCTTGATTAAACCTGATGTCAGAACGTGCTTCTCACACTACAGCTCTTCTGACTAGCAAGTTTAATTGTTATAGAAAATTGTTGTAGAAAAGTGTTGCATTTTACAGCTTATTAAACAATACTATCTCTATTTGAATCTCCCTATGTTGTTTTACATCATTAGCACTAAAGCGTGAGTCTTCACAACACATACCCATTCTCCCCTAGGGACAGTCTACATGTCATAATTGGCATACGGGAGTGCAGTCACTACCAACCTTAAGGTCTCCATTTCTAACCTCACTCAAACCAGAGGAAACTGTCATTGAGTCTTTGGGCAAAACCCCTCACTCACCTTGCCTCTCGTGCCATTGCTTACTGATGTATGAGTGAGAGAAAACACAGGACAAGAGATGGAAATTAGCCCATGGCTTAGCCAGTTGGCTTACATGTATCTGCCTTAGATAGAGATGGAGAGATACTTGAGATATGTAACTATCAACCTGCATGTGCAGTTTGCATAAACAGATTAGATACAGATTATTAATTAGTTTCTTTTCATTGTAGTGATTAGTGTGGTGACACTATCTAATGAATTGTTAGGGGCCTGTAATTCCCAGCCCTGCATTTTCCAAACTAAATAAACTAACAATAATATTCGACACACAAAATCATTTTCTATGCATCCTGTTGAGTATAATAGCAGTGAGCATATTGCAATAATGTGCATGCATTAATATAAAACTTTTAGTCAATTTCAGTTTACCACCACTGCCATTTGTGCAGTTATTCTTACAAGAAGACATAGACATTTCCACTTGAGGACACAGGAAGCAGGCATAACCTCTCTGAGTCATCAGGATCAGGATTTTCTTGTTAGTTGTTTAATATTTTTATCTTCCCTGTCCTTCTTTTACCTCTTTCAGTTCATCTGCAGATTGTGCTGGCAGTGGGCCTGGCTGTGCTCTGTTATTCTCTGGTTGTGGTGTGCATCCTTTGCTGCCGGAAAAGGAAAAAAGCCATTTCATCTGAGGACAAGGAGACTGTGTTCATGTCTCCATACCCGCCTGCTGTCACTCTGACTATTTCGCCGTGCACACAGCCAATCAAACAACAGTATGAGGAGCTGGATGGAGACGTTTTGGACTTTCCGTTATCTAAAAGCAGTTCTTCTCCTTCTGAAGATGACCTGTCTGCTCTGCCTTCAGATCCCAGCCCCTCCCATTCCCCTGGTCTGCTGCTGTCCCCGGGTGTGTCTCTTCCTTTGAGACGTCTCAGCTCGCCAGCTATCCCCTGTCCTCCTGATAAATCACCTGTCCACGGGAGAGCCTCATTGCCTTCTCTTACCAAACTTAGCCTCATGTCCCGGTCCAAACGGGCCAAGGGCAGGCGCAGCACCGTTAGTGGAGACAGCTTCCTGTGCAGTGAAGGCAGGAGCTTGACCTCCGAACCCCAGCTGAGGGCTGAATCTCAGTATGGGGCAGTGTCCACTGGATCCAAGCCCTCTCCTCTCCTACATTTCTCCCTGCTCTTCTCTTCAACCCATGGCACTCTGGTGGTCAATATCTTGGGTGTGTCTGGTACCAGTAGAAAGAGAAGCAGTGTTTATGTGCGGGCCAGTCTCCCTCCCCTGTGTCCCTCCCCACAGCCACTGTCATCGCGCCGCCGCAGCCTCAGCCCGGAGCTGCACAGTCAAAGTGTGGTGATGATCGTAGGCCCTGTGGAGGAGCTTCATGTCTGTACCCTCAGACTGGCTGTGTACAGCAGAGACTTCTCCGGGCTCAGAGAGGCCATGCTGGGCCTGGTGGAGATGCCCTGTGAGCAGATGGACCTAACACCTGACACAACCTGCACCTTTACCAGGGAGATCACCCCCTCTAAGAGCAAGCTGAAAAAGGTACGGTTTATAAGCCATGCACTGTCAAATCAAAAAAGAAATCTATAATTTCAACTAATTAATGATTCAAACTAGATTTTGCCAATGTGTTGAAACTATAATAAAAATGTCCAAATGCGTAATATCTGCCCTTCCCTCCGTGCTACCCCAGCAAGAGAAATTTCTTCTTTGTTCTCTTCAAATTCATATTGAAGCTTTAAGGGTCACCTCCCAGTTATAAAACACAATTTTAATGTGATGCTCTTCTGTATCTGTGAATCTGGATGTAAATAATCGTGGGTGACTCTCTACAATTCTGTTTTGATTATAAAATGATGTCCTCCCTAGTAATTCTTTTAACAAGTTCCAATTGATTAAACTGATAAGCTGAAATAATGATATAGGCTGTCTTGTGCTGTGTCCTTGAAGACATAGCCATTCATTTGTTATCCGTCAGCCATTTTTCTTATGTGGTTAGTCACGGTGACTTTGTTGTTCATAAGTGCAGAGCAAACAAGCACGGCACAGTTGGCCCTGAGCCAATGCAGTGCCCCCTGTCAGAAAACATTTATATGAGCCTTTAATGGAGCAGGCGGCTGATGTTTGGATTGTGGACAGTTGTCTTAATCAGATATGCTGGACTAACAAATACTGGTGTGGAGATGAGATGTCTCTTCTGTGATGTAACACTTTATGTTATTCTAGCTTATTCTAAGTTAATTTATTGATACATCTATAATACTGTAATTCATATTCTCTTTCAAAACATACTACCTATTACGCTGTCCTTTTAAATAAAGTTCTTTATGTATTTACTGTTTTCAGAACACTATTTATTTATTTATTTATTTACTTTACTCTTTACTATATATATATATATATATAATATATATATATATAATAAAAAATTATATATATATATATATATATATATATATATATATATATATATATATATATATATATATATATATATATATTAATATTTTTTTTTATTATTATTAAACTGACATTATTTCATGTATTGCATGTGTTATACCTTGTCATGTAAACTCATACTTAACAGAACAGAAATAATAGTCCGGCAATAAAATTAAGTGTAGGCCAGGTTTGACACAGACCCCTGTACTCATAATAATGCGTATTATACTATACTTCAACCTAAAGCATTGCTTTATTACAAGAAGAAAGACAGAAGATCATATAATTGCATGTTTGGATGGTAATAAATTAATTTACTGCATAAATAATATATCAGCCCTTGTAATCTATAATAATTAATGGACAATAGCATTAAGCCCAAGTTCGTGATACAAATGGTTAGCCTGTAGTGGTAAATGTCATCTATATTGGCCTAAATCAATGAAGTTGTAGAAAACAAGATTGGTGAAGCCTACCAGGCAGAAGCACTGAGGCAGAAGTCACTTGTTGGACAGTGTGGTCTTCACCCTCCACTGCATTGCACATGGCTGGGGGGTCCACATCAGCCTTTTGTCAGGGGGACGTGACTCACCACAATAAACAGCACATGCTAAGCATTTGAGACAGGAACGGCACTTAAAGGTTATGATTTTAAGGCCAAAACATTTACACATGAAAATTCTGGATGTCTGATTTGTGCATTGTGTAAAAAAATATTAAAAATATCTAAATATTGATAAAACCAGTATGAAAAAATACTCATCAGAACAAGGTTATTATGTGAGCAATATAGAGTATTATTGTTTCTATATTATTAGGCTTGATCTGTCTACAGTAGCCATATTTAAAAGATAACTGAGCCTATGTGTTCTTGTGCTTCTTTCAGAGTGTGAGTTCTCAGGAAACCCTGGCCCACCGGAAAACATCCGTGTGTGTGCCAAAAGTCTTGGGCCAAGTCTTTATTTTGCTGCAGTACCAGTCTGTGGCCCAGCGTATTAAATTGATGGTGAGAAAGGCAGAACATCTGGCCAAGCTCACACGCATCCCTGGGACCCCAGGTAAATAGCTATTACTGCAATGAGATACTTTATTGTTGAAAGCTGGAGCTCGCTCCCAGTATTTTTCTGTGTTTAATTTGATTTGGTGTAATCTTATTAGTAACTGATCAGGACGCTGTCATTTCCCCTGATGTTTTCAGATTCATATCACTCTATGTAATTGATAGTTTGTTGATAATGGTTTTGAACATGAGAAAAGGGTTTAATGGAGAATTAATCCTGTTTTCTTTTGTGTGTTCTCAGACCACTATGTTGTGATCAACATGAGGCAGGATGGAAAAGTGATTGCTACAAAGGAAACCAAAGGAGTTGGTGGTCTCAACCCCATTTGGAATGCTCCATTTCTGTTTGACCTGCCCCCTGGAGACATCACTCAGCTGCCTCTGCATTTTGAATTCATCATCATGCAGGTAAGGTTTTATGATGTGTAATTTTTAATATTGGACATACTATGTGATTTAAATGCTCTGTTCTCTAGGGTCGTTTGTACACCAAGAGCAGTGTGCTGGGTCGTGTGCTCATTGGCAGCAGTGGTCCAGAGGAGGGGCAGGCTCACTGGAAGGAGATGCTGAGACGAGGGCAGATAGAGACAGCGCGCTGGCACACCATTCAGCCTGATGTGCGGTACATCTGACTGACCAGCCCTGCATTAATTATACAGACATGAGTTAAATAGCGCCTGAATTCTGCTTTTGTACAAATAGTGTCACCGCATGTTGTTAAATCTAAAATGTATTATTATTACATGTCTTGTTTATGTGGGTCACTGTTGTCAGCCTTGTAAAATATTGATACTTTTCTGTAAAAGTAATTTCAGAGGTTTTGTGTTGCATGCTACTTTTACATAATCCCAACTGTATGCTCAGTGAGTAGGGTACGAATACAATGAAAGACTTTTTGTTGTAAAGTTACATATTAATCCTTTTTTTTTACTTAACATGCAAACATTGGATAAAGATCTGTGCACAAATTATGATTTCCAGTCCAGTGGAATTTGTAAAATAATTTGAACAATAACAGAGTAGAGTGTGAATGAGAAGGCATTTGAATGTTGTGATTTGGGGAAGAACAAGCTTAATTGAACATTTCACAGTGGCTTCCTGTTCACAGTTTGTGACGTTTACCCAATGTTAAAAATACCCTGAGAAAATGGGACCTTAGTGATGTAATCGAACAGTAGTAGGGCTCTTATGTCATTGGATAGTGCACATGCATGTCTCTGCTCCCACTGACTAAATATGACATGTGCACATAGGAAATTGAATGATTCCGGATCTTGTCAGTGAATTACATCCAGTATAAAAAGAAGTCCTCAATCAAGCATAATTATTATCTAAGTCCCTCATACTCAAGGCTTTTGCCCTCACTCCTTTATAATGTGATTCATTTTGCCACAGTACTGTCTATGGGGAGTACTTTAGCGGAAATTGCCCCATCCAAATGAGTCTTAAAAGGCATTCAGGGCATCAGGGAATCTGATGTCATGATTTCAGATGGAGGGCCACAATTTTTTTTATCTTTGAGTTGCTGTTTTTGAAAGAAATATCAAAACTGAAAATCCATAACACCTTTATACCAGATAGGTCTAGTGATTGCAGCAGCAGTATTAACCACAAACCATGATCAAACATCTGATCAGTTTTAAGGTAAATTCAACCATACCAAACAGAACCTGCCTTAAGTGGCTATGCCTCAATTTAAGTTTTAAGGAGACAATACAGGCAAAACGCATTTATTTAAATCATAGGTTTTGGGTCATTGAACATATGAGCTACAACATGTTTTAACTCCAAAAAATTAGATATATATTTGAATTTTAGTCAAATCTAGTTACTACTCAAATACTAGTCTATTCAGATACTAAGTAAGATTTCCAAAATCCCTTCTGTCAGTTTTTTTGTGTTTTGTCAGTGTTTTCTATTATGACAACAAATTGAAGCAAGAAATGTAAACCTTTGTCAATTTTTCAGATTTATGTCTCAAATATGGTCAATTAGCAATTTGTACTTTTACGTGCTGTATTTTTATATGAAATAATTAACTGTAATACCTGTATTTCTTACGTTTATACAAGTACTGTAATGTCAAATTGATCTCGAAATTTAACATAATTTCCTGTTCACCTGCAGGAACATCATAACAGGAAATTATTTTATGATGTTACATGAACCTAACCAACTGAGTAATTTCCTCAAAGAGCTCTGGGAATTTCATTCAACACAGAAGCACAGAATCCACAGGCAGCTTGGTTAAAAATCACATCAAACATTGAAAGTGGTGGGATTTAAAGTATCGTATAGAAACATGCTCGGTTCTTAGCCTCAGATGTGCCCCCTCTCACGTGGGAGCACAGTTGTTTGGCTGTATTCTGTGCGGATATAAGATCGTTCTTCACTGTGAAAACAACTGGGCGGTCTGGAGAAAACTGAAAACATGAAAGTGTAATTAAGTCTCATCATCATTTTTATAAGTGATGCTAAAATCACAAACACACAAAAACAACACTTTATTTTTATTTTAACCTCCGGGATTTCGGGGTATTGATCTATTTACTTGTCCCTTCTGTATACTACTCACTACACAACCGGGTAGGAAGCGCACTGGAGATACTCTTGTTTGGTCTCTAAGTCCCTCTAACCATTCACTTTTCAAATGGTAAAAATGCACTAATGATGTCGCCATCAACAAAGTCTTTAACCAACACACCGCATGCACGGTGCATGGACTGTATCATGACGCACACAGCAGGACAACAGCTCAACATCAGCTCAACTCACCGAATCACATCTAGCGCTTGTCATTGGACACTGGTAGGATCTATACCAAAATAAATCAGGTAACTCATGTACGTAGGTCGATAATGTATTTATTTTAGATTATTTTAAGATTATGGAAAAAAAAGAAGAAAAAAAAACATTAATAGGCCACAGTCAATAGGTAGGTTATCATTAAATTCGAAGTAAATACTGATATTCTGAGGTATTTAGAGCCTTTAGGAAGTTAACATGTTTTATATTTTGTCTGTTGAATCACAGTTGCGGTGAATGTGCTTGTCATCCGCTCTGGCCCAGAATCATATTTGTTATGAACTGTTCTGAACTATTGCCCTCTAGTGGATTCCTGGAGTAGTGCACACATGGGTTGAGAGTTGAAATGTATAGACTAAATGATAAATATCTGATTGCATGCACTGCCCTAAAGACAGAATAAGCATATGTAATGTCACAAAGCATATTTTTTTATACTTCTAACAGTATATCAGAAAACCCCAAATACATATTGGACCTTGTTCTTTTTAGATATTTTGTAACAGAAATATCGATGCTCCATGTTCATATAACCTAGTCATATTTACATGCATGCCTGTGACTTTGGAGGTTCGTGCTAATATAAAAACAATGCACATGGGCCATTGCGAGTTGGCAGTTTGTGTGTCTGTCTTCACATCTGGATCACACTCAGATCTGGTGGAGGATCAGAGAACTGGGGCTGCAGTCTTCCCCCTTTTATTAAGCGTTAGGTTGGAGCATGATTAATGAACACTCCATCACACTCTAGACTAGCTGTCTCATCTTCATGTCCATAGCAGCTTTAGGTTTTAGCTTCAGGTTCAGACTCTCCACGGGCCCTGAGTCCTCACAGTGGTCAGAGGTCTGTCTGGATCAAACCCTCACTATATCCATGTTGACAGCACAGGAGAGGTGGACACATATTGGGCCTGTATGAGGTGATTGTCTGTATGGTATGGTAGAGATGCATGTCTGATGACAGTGACTGGAACCTCCCACTGTGATGCTGTGGAGATGCAGCTGCAGTGGTGCTATGTGACTGTCTGCAGGCCTCATGTTCCACACCAGCTGAACTCAGTGTGCTGCTTCCCTCTTTGTGTAAACATGGGCCAAGCAGCATTAACCAAAAACACATGAGGCTTTTTCTATTGTTGTGTCTGTCTATATGCTCTTAAGGTCTTCTTGAACATCTCCTGAACTTTTCAGAATGCTGTGACGGAGTGTTAGGAATCCTTCAAAAGTGAGCTATTAGTGGTGTGCCACTGCCAATGGATACGGAGGAGAGGGCTTTCTCAGAGGGACAGAGTGGGAGAGGGATAGGTTATGTTTTATTCAAGAGGGACTATACTTTGTACTTCTGGCACTGTAGAACACTAAAACCTAATGACACTATTGTTCATTTCAGCTATTATTTTGAAAAATAATTCAGTTCAACTAGTAGCTGGGTTTGGCTGGCTCTTCTCTTTACTTACTATTCTTCTCTGCCCCTTTCTAACAAGAATTTTAAAAAACTCAAACAAAAGTAAAGTCAGATGATTTTGGGATATTGATGTTACAGGAACTATTCAACATATTCTCAATTCACAAACAGCCACTTACACCATAGTTAACACCTAACAGTTTCTGAAAAAAAGTCACAGATCCTCTTTTTATTTACACATGCACTCAGTTATTTCATTATAAATTCATTACCACACCTCTTAGTAATGCCTTTATTGTTCCAGAGAAGATTTGCCACATGTTTTCACTGCTCTGCCCCAAGCCCCAGAGTCAAAGCTGGATACTCATTGTTCAGGAGAAGTCAGGCAGAGCGTATTTCCAAAGTTACCACAAACTAGATCCTATTAACCCCTTTATTTCAGATGGAGCTGTTTCTCGCTTTTCTCCTTTACAAAGAGCATAATAAGCTGAAGACCCAGACCACACATGGTTCTTCCACCAGTCACACACAGCTGCATAGTCCTGTAGCCACTGGTTATCCAATCCACAACCACTGTTTATCCAATGTGCAGTCTTTTTGGGTCAGTAATATTTGTGTTCATTGATCAGATCAGGTGTCCTTAGAATATAAACATGCAGTGACCAAGAACATTATTGTACTCTAATAGTTCTAATTTTATTTTGTGTGTTTCAGGGAGATATTAGTGCTTATTACTTTCTTTGCTTAGAATGTTCCGCAGTAGGGAATTATACATATTTGTCCCCATGGTGCACCATGACAAACAGGTGCAACAGCAGGCCAAGTTATGGAGAGATTAACCCACTTTAGTGATGGTATTTTTGAGCAGTAAAACACCTTTAAATGAATCAATGAATCAAGGTAAGTTAAGATTTAATGCCATACTGTGTAACAGCCCAGGCAAAGCAATAACATCTACATGGAGACAAGCAAGTGGCAAATCCACTAGAAAATTACATATTACAACTTTTCTAATGTAACTTAATGTAAAATTCTCATGTGGACATTACCCTGTATGTGCTTATATTGTACACTGTTATAGAGAGGTCTGCTGAATGGCCTGTGGTTGTCCAGAATGAACCAAAATGGTAAATTAAAAACAAAAAATATGAATCATTTTATAGCATGCCTGCCCCACACATTATGATTTATTATAATATATGAATCTAAATAACAAAAGACAATTATGTTTATACAATACATTTAAAACTCAAATTCATATTTGATTTTTTAGCCCCTCAGGCACATCATGCTGTAGACAAACTCTCCTCACATGGTTTCGATTGAACTAGTAACTTGGTTCCAGTGAATTTTGTTAATGACACTATTTTCTTGGTTACAGGGCTTGTGTATATCCAGCGACTCTGACCTGTTGAACCGTTCATGTTTACGAGGAACAGTTAAAATGGTAAATACAAAAAGCATCATTTACAGAGAATAATTTTAGGGCTTTAACCACATTGTCCCCATCTGCTCCTGCTTAGCCATTACACCTAAAGAAACCTATACCCATGTACCAACAGCCTGGGCAATGAAAACCAGGCTTGTTTAAAACCCTGTACATTTTATTTACAGTCTTAAGTTTAATTTGGTCCTTACATGTTTAGATTGTATCCATTACATCCAGAATCATAAGTATTTTAGATCTTTTGGTAAACTGGGTGGTCATATCAATGGCAGTGTTCGTATAGCAAAAGATATAATAACATTTTAAATTTTCTTTTTTTTTTTTCCTAAAATCATTTATTTACTGTTTATTAAAATTTTTCTCTTCATGAAGCTGTTTTTTGTTATACACAAGAAAAGCAAAGTGCCATGGTATTGTGGTAACCTGGAAATGCATTCGATTTTAATGCTAATCGTAAATACCTCTGTAGAACAGTCAACCTGCTGGGATAAAATTGACCACTCAATAAACTTTATCTCTTCAGATATTTTCTAAATCGCTTAATTGGTTTATATCTTATGACATATTATAGGGTTTATTACTGTTTACAACCAGATGCATGCAAATAAAGATTGTTTAATCAACAGTATACAGCCAGTCAGGATAGGAATCCCAAGCAGCTGTTCACAGCCACACAGAGTCTTCTCAGGTACAACTAAGAAACTGACAAAAGCTGTGTGCAGAACAAACTAAGAAAACTGAGCAGAGGAGGATATCACAAGAATAGCACTTACAGAAAAGCTTGCGATAGGTACATTGCTTAGGGAGTATGACTTGTCAGTGCCCTTTCATACACACACTCATGTTGCATGACAAACACTGAAGCCCTGGGACCAGCTGAGTGCTTAAAACACAGATGCCATGTCTTGTCACTCCTTAAAAAAATACTTTCTGCATTTTGCAGTTTGGATACCGAAAACAGATAATAAACCTGTGTCACACTGTTCAGACTCGACAGTTGGGACTGTGTTGAGTTGTAATGTTACCATAACAGCTATAAAATATTTCACAGTTTCCCATAGAATCTCTTGGTAAATGTATGCTGCAGTATGTAGAAATAATAATTATATTATGTTTATCATTCTCAGAGTGAGAAGGCATTAATGCAATTTCATGATCCAATACAGTGATCACAGTAAAAGTTATTGTCTACAAAAAATAAAAATTAAATAAGCTGCACCACACACTTATGCAGAACACATGTTAACATTACAGTAGCAAGAGCTCACAGAATGAGATTTAGTGTGGAGCTCTAATTAGATCTGTGTGTCACCATAGATCATCAGGCCCATGTAGTGTTCTCTCCAATGGAAATAGGCTCCATTCAATCAAAATGTAAGAGAGAAAGCCTAAGTGGGCAGCGAGCTGGCCTGGCCTTTGTTGTACTTTATGGTGACATCACCTTTTGTGCATGCAATACATTTTGTGTTTATTCAATTTTGTGGTTCTGACTTAAGCCAATACATTTATGAAGATTCAACTGTGCCATCTTAAGTCCCTCACATGTGTGCTCCACAATAATTACAGCTTAACTAGCAGCTCATAAGGAAGCAGTCATTTGTTACTGATATTCAATTCCAGGGCATTTTAGAGACTATTTTTGAAAGACTTTGTTTTTGTATCAGTCTTAAACTTTTGGAGCATTCCTTGCTCTAACGCATCAGAAATGAATGAGAGCATGGTAGTGTACCCTTTCCACATGAAAGGACTTGGGGCAGGAATACCTATCAGTCTTTTGTGCATGACTGCCATAGAGATGTATCAAAGGTTCCCACCTCTATCCTCTCCTTAAAGACATTCTGGTATCAGATGGACAGATGAAATTGCTACTGTGTCACAAACAGGACTCTTGCCCCACACATATAAACAATGTTGTAGATGAGGTGCTTTGACCATATGCATAAAGACACTTATTCCTCCCAAAGCTGTAATCCTGGTCTGAGGGGGTCAGGGCTGTGTCAAGTGGCATACCAGACGTATCCACATTTCCACACCATTAAACCGATCAGTGAGCTCACTCACAGTGGGTGGTTCTGCGGCTGGCTGCTTCACAGTGCTACTGTCATAGTCATACACTGACCACAATTTGTTTACTCAGGTGCTGTCCACAGAAACACCTTACATTAGACCTGGAGAAGAAGACCTTACAAGGTGAGAAGATCTAGTCAAGGCTGACTTGTTAAACAGCTTTATTTACCTGCTTTGACCCTATTGTCACCTTTGCTTGTTGTACATTACAATCGAGGTTGTTCATGCATCAGCACCAACATTACAGAGATAAAGCCAAAGTGTTTTCAGCACCTGATTTTTCACTGTACCTGTAATTCTGTAACTACTGGAAAAATGTATTTCTAATGGCATCAACACAAATTAAGTCGGAAGGAAGACTGGACCACACACTTATGGATGTTGGTTTATTTATTTTGTTTTACTGGTCATCAAAAATAAAGAATTTACTGTTTTATGTCCAAGCTTCACAGTCTTGTGAAGCAGCCTTTCAGGAACAGCGGGCACCTGCAGTGAAGAACCCTTCTCCTGATCTTTAGCCAGGATCTTGGTCAGGACTGTTCGTAGGGATTATTACTGGAGTAAGGAGGTATGTCTCTACAACTTGTACAACAACATGAATTAAATGACTGAGCAAGTTTGGCTCACATTTACAAAATTGATCCTCAAAAATGTTTTGTGTTGTTGAACAGATCCTCCCTATAATCAATATGTCAACAAATCAATCTTGTCTGAGGGAAAAAGACCACAGTTAAGCAACAATGACAAATTAATGAACACAAGATTGAAACCAAAGCAGACATCATAAAGAGCTCAACAGGGTAGTGGTCGGCATACGCGCTCGTCCTGTTGTGGTCACTTTTTAACTGAAACATTTGTGGTTGCAATGGACAAACAGGCATAAAAGTTACATTTAGGTAACAGCAGATATCAATAGAACCCAAAGAACATATACCACTGCAAACTTTTACAACATGCAAAAAAAATAGTTTTAAATTTCATGACAAGTCCCACAGGAGCTTCAGTGCTGGCTGTGCAAACCTGTGTAACATGCCAGGTACTGCACAGTTGACCTCAGCTTCCATTTCAATTTGACTAAAGGAACCAAGACTGCATGTACATAATGTGATGCTTATACGCATGTGTCCTGCCAAATTGAGTGCTATTTGAATTCAAAACATCTATGTTAAGAATGATGCAAGGAGGAAAATTTAAGTCAAAGCATTTGTCCAAAGTTCAGACAAATGTCAATTTATTAACTCTGGTGTCTGCTAAACATAAACCAACACCAACAATATTGGAGTTGTGCAAGTGGAGTTTCCCTTCCACACGAACCGTTCTGACTGTGATATATCGACTTTGTGTGATTTGGCCTGAGTCGCCAAGTGTTTATTACAATAAAAGGACCATAAAGCAGTTGCTGTTCAGAAAGTTGGGTTTCCGAGCAACTCCAGTACAATAAAAACACAAGTGCAGATATACACATCCAAATGCAGACATGGAAACAGGGTGCACCTCATATGTCTCTTTGTCATTACATAATTCACAAGCTGTATACAATGGGCCCTGTGGATGCACTCCAGACTAAATCATGATCGCTCACTAGTCCTCAGAGGTCATATACTTTATTCTTAAGTCACTTTTAAATGACTAAAAGATGGAAAGATTGAAAAAGATTACACATCCTTAAATCCAATGTAACATTCTGTTGATGCAAGCAACACTATGTCAACCTGCATACATGGTTCTATGTGTATCTTCAGGTCTTTATGTTGTTTTATCTTGGCAGTTGCAGTCTATGTTGGATTTAATTGATTAATTGTACCATTTGCACTCAAAATACTTGAACACCATGCATAAGCAGAGGTCACCTCTCCACAGATCTGGCTTTCAACTTTGTCCTGTGGTGTACTTGTCTCCATAAAGGTTTAATAACATACAATGTTCAAGATTCTTGGCAAAGCAATAACATCTCCTATTCATTCATCTCCAGATCTTGTGCTAGGCTTGACTTGCTGGAGGATTATCCTATAGGGCATATAGAGAATTTGCACGTCACAAAGCCACATTTGTGTTGACACTTTATTTGAGCTGAGTTTTCTTAGCTGGCATGCAGGTGTATATGAAAGGCAGGCATTAATCTGTGACAAAGATAATTGTCTAATAGCTCAATAGTGTAAAGTCCTGACATTGTCCTAATCTATCAAATGTTTGACTAATTTACCAAAATATCTTAGAAGCCATGTTCAGGCTTGCAGAATACTAAAAGCATGTTATTTCTGGCCCTAATGTTGATTAGTCTGATTTTGTTGGCTTGGCTTGCTTGACTGCTGTATGGTTTAATTTAACTGACCAATTACATGCATAGATGACTCGACATGGTACATAAATAAATAATCTATAAAGCTAAGCACTGAGTTAAACGGTCTGCCTGTGATGAACACCCATGTCCAAATTAATTTTAAAATCATTTTTTGTCCCTCGGGAAGTTGCACACAAATGTTTTCACTTTTATAGTTTCACAATAGGTCAGTTTCACCGTCTGAAAACTTGCAGAATGTGGCCCCAGTTCTCAATGAAAAACACATTTCTGCTGGTATGGACATCAACAAACACCAAAAACAAGCCAAGGAAATGGAGAAAGGAGTCGGACATTTTCTGGTTGGAAAACCGCATGTGCGGTCTCAGTAATGAAGCAGACACAGCCATTTCAACAGCTGCGTTTTACTGTGGTTCTTTAATAATGTTGCTTTATATTTTCTCCTGAATTTATTTGATTCTACAGGGAATAGAGCCAAGAGAGGCCGTGCTGTTTCATTTGGGGCGCTCGACAAGGTTGCCCTATGTAAGTGCATGTATATTTCATTCCTGGTGCATTTGTGGTGAATAAAAGCAGCTGTTTCATTTGAATCGTAGCCAAGAAGCACACGTATCAAGGGGAATATATGAGGACCACAGAGAGTGTATGGGCTTAACTTAACATTGTCTGACCAGTCACTGACCACTGCGCTGGGATTTCCATGGAGGGGACTGGTGGTTGTGGATTTGTTTCTGAGAGTCATCAGAAACGACCCCTATGCATTACATTGGCTTGGAGATGTAAAATAAAATAATGTTTGAAGCAGTAATCACTAAAATAACTTGGACTCCTTCATAGAAATTATGTCAACAAATATAATTTATTGGGGTATTAGATTTTATTGTACAGACTTGAGGAGATGTATGAGGCTTTAAATACACCGCAGACAGCATTTTTTTTCTTCTCCACAAGCACTGGCCCATACAAGACACAAAATGTATTGAATGTATTAAAAAGAGTTAGCATATTCATTTATTACAGTGACATATAGATTGGATGGAATGTTGTGTGACTAATTAACCCTTTATTCATTGTAGACAGTATGGTTTTCGGGATATAGGGAAGATCAGATTGAGTAATGTGATTCCAGTTGCAAATTGTACTTTGCTTGTCATATTAGTCATGCAGTCCTTTTGGATTTGGATACCATTCGATACACAGACCAGGAACACTACCTTATGCAATTCATTAAGCAACAAACTGAAACACACTTGTAAATTTAAATGAAGTTGTCCATCAAGCATAATTTGACCCTTGTCTAACTTTAGAGATATATAGTATAATATTTTTACTTTTTCCAAAACATTTAGTTTATGAGTTGCCTAAAAAGTCCTTGTTACAAATGCTAGAATGTCAAAAAGAGTTAGTGACTCCATTCTGTCATTCACCAGTTGTTAGATAAATGTTTGCTAAATATATTTAAAACTTTCTTGCCAACAGATCTGCTAATGAAGCTGTGATTCTACGATAATGATCCAAATGCTACTTCATAGGTACTTTAAAAGCTCTTCTCTCTAGAACCAGAACATGTTGCGATAAGATGAATAATGCTGATATGGAGCTTTGCTCAAAAGTTGCTTTATTTAAGTTTTGGTTCCACTTCTTGGTAATGTTTTGATAATCCACAAAAAGCCTGAAGCTGCTCAGACCCTGCTGACCACTACAACAACAAACTCAAGCAAACTCAACATTCCGGCCACAATAAGGTTGGGGGCATAGTGGCAAACACATTATTTTGCACAATTGCTGAAAATGGAATAAGGGCAAGAGATATATGTGTATAAATGTGTCTGTTTTTTTTTTTTTTTTAATCATAACACTACACTAATATCTTATCGTAGTACTTTATAATGTTCTAATTTCAATAAAAAGGGCCCATATTACATTATTTTCTGATGTATGTTATAATGTTTTTTCCTCATCAAAATCATACCTGGAGTTTTGTTTCACTCACACATGTTTAACACACAGACCTTGCATCTTTAAGCTGAGTTTTTCACTCAAACAAAAAACAGAAGAATAAAGTGCTCCACTATGTTTTTAAACTCCATACATCTTCACTAGAATCATTTGGATAATTTCAGCCCTGGAATTATCTCTACTGAACTAAAGGTAAAAGGTATATTAAGCAAAAAGAAATTCAATTCCGTCAGCTGGACAAAAGTTTTTTGATCAAATACGTTGCACGGCGCATCCAAACTGCTTCATCAGTTTTGTAAAAGGTAGCTGTTAACTTCAAAACAATCACTACATAATACCACAATGTAGAACAAAGAATTTTGAGCGTTGGAGATGTAACAGACTAGGATTAGGCTACTGAAACATGTGAGCATGAAACAAATCACAACTCCAAGTATGTTTTTGATGAGGTAACAGCCTTGTAACATGGCATTGTAACATGTCTTAAAGCTCGCATGAGTCAAATGTGTGTGATATAGGACCATTAAAATAATGTTTTTCATTTCTCGTAAAAATTGCTTTACGACTTAAATTGCGTAAAATGTTGGGATGCCACGGTGAGCCAGTAATGTTTCAGTAGAAATCATCATGACTTGTTGCTGTATTCCTCTGTTCAAAGGCGGGAATAAAAGCCCTGGGGGATCACAACGCACTGGGCTGTAGACTCAGCCGCTCTCCTCCTCTCTCAGTGCGTAAATGCGCACACAGCCGCGGACGCACGGCTCCAGTACACGCGCCACCACTGGACACTTTCACAGAGCGGGATCTCTCACCCGTGGGTCACTACATGGACCCTGCTCCGTGGTGCTAATGTGAGGGCGTTTTAACTCGGACACGTTTTTGTCCCGGAGCAGAGGGGACATGGCTCAACTCTCTGGGGCCACTCTGTTACCTATCAGTGCTATGTGCGTAGTGTTTCTTTGGGAATCTGAGTCCAGTTCTATCAGGACCACACTGGGAGTGGACACTTCGAGGTAAGTCGTTAATGCTAATCCAGATTCACGTTCACTCTCATTGATGTGCTAATACTGTATACTTGTGTCATATATTAAGTTTAGTTATTTTGGTAAAGTATCTTTGCTACTTTCAAATGCAGCCAATAGCTTCACAAATTACTGAGCACAAATCCCTGTAGTCCGCATAGCAAGCGTTTTTCTGTAATGCAATTGAGTCTGTAAACAAGCACCTCGTTTAACATTAGCGCGGTGTGCCAAAATCCGTAACTGCATTAAAAGTGCGCATCCCCTGTGATCCGTGTGAGTACGGACCTCCAAATGAACCGGAGCAGTGCGTCTAATCTAATGTGATTTCCAAGGAAATGCAAAAGGAAGAGCGAATTCCAAATGGTAGGAATCGGTCGCGGTGTAAGGAGCCAAACTTTTACTTGTGCTCAGACAAAACATGACACTTGTTATTAAGGCGCCCTGAGAGACGAGTTCAAGAGGTGAGCAAAGATGTAGAGGGAAGTCGTGACAACGCTTGGCCTTTTACTGGGCCTCAGAATTAGACCTGGAATAATGCACGATTTGTCTACTATTTTAAGAAGATTAAACGTTGTTTTTACCTTACAAGAAAGATGTAGCCTGAAAAATCAGAATAGTAGTTTAAATTTCAATGAATTGACACAAGAGCTTACAAGAACTCATGAACTTTAAAAGAACAGTCCCCTCACTCATTGTGACCCATGTGACTAACTTTCTTTCTAAATGTATGCCTATTTTAATGTGTTACTTAGCTACTAATGAATCAAATGGAAATCTATAGCAGCAAGTGGTTTGACTCTCCTCAACTGAACCCATAGCATGCTTACTCACAATACCACCCTGTATTCTCTCTTGAGATTTCTAGCGATTCTTTCACAACAGGTCTACTTTAACAGTGGGTGGTGTACATCAAGCTGTGCATATCCTAATTTACCTTTTATCCTCAGAACGGAGTGTCCTGAAAATAAAATCCTGACAGTGGAATATCCCTGTATAGGAGCTGGAGGCAAGAACAGCAGTTGTTTTAGGTAAGCACTTTTTTTTTTCTTTTTTTTTTTTCTTCCATTTGGCCAAACCGATTTCCTAAGTAGTTTGAAGCTCTCATCAGCCTGTGGGACCCTCTGCTTGTACTTTGTGTAATTCACCATTGAGTTTGCTCACTTTCCTGGAACAGCGCTTTGCTTAGGATTGTAGATATTTGCTAAGGATTGTGGACAAGTGTCTGTGATGCTCAAAGACATCTGGGGGTTGTAGTGAGGTTGGAGTAGCTACCAGAGCATATCATTCCTATTATCTATTCACATTATATTTTAGATTTCGTGGTATTTATACATAATGATGGATATGTCATCATGTATCAGTGGCAGGTAGCAGAGGATTTGATAACATAACATAAGATTTGATAACATAACTTTCTGAACTTTGCGGAGATTGAGAACTTTTTAAATAGTTTAAGTGGATGCCCCCATTCATTACATTCAACCCTAAATAGTCAAAGCAGTGTGACAGGAAGAGATCCATTATTCATGCTTCACTATACATTCAAAAAGAGACAATAACAATATATAACATGAAGTATGTGAGGTTTACCACACTATCAATTATAGGATTACATACCATATGCATACGTCAGTATTTGTAGTACTTGAACGCCCATGTCTGAGTAATCACACGGCTATTTTTGCAATTGAATGATTTTGTGGTATGGGTAGCTACATGACCAGAACATAAGAAGGACTAATCTATATAATATAATTTGGCCTGATGTGACCTATTATTTAACTGAATTGTATTTATGGATTTCTGTTACCTAGTAATCAAAAACAAACTTAAGTGGAGTATTTTTGATTAAGCATGGAAGGTGAATAGATTAACATTTAAAATCTAATCATGTTTCCTAATACTAAATCATTGCTCAGTTTGGATGTTGTTCACATTACCATAGATACATAAATCATGAGAATAGTGAGTACACTTAGGAGCTCTCAAAAATATAAAAATATAAAGATAAGGAGGTTGAAGGGTTGTTGGGTTCTAAAGTGCAGTCCGACAATGCTAATAGGCTAAAGTCAATCATCTTGATGTGTGCAAACTGCTCTTGAAGGCCCAGGATTTAGTTGGTGGTTTGCGAAAATCCCATATCTGGTTTGAGACCAGTCTGTGTTCTGTTCAATGTCAAATCAAGCTTTAAGATCCCATTTCTGCTTTTGATGTAAGATGAGTTTTGTGCCATTCCAGGACAAGAGCTTACTGTACCTATTTCTATTATTCTGACTATATATAAAATACCTTTCTTATGTAAGTACACATAACATCCACCTCATACATCTTGCTGAACTCAACTGCTATTGACCCAGGGTGATATTGTCAAATGATTTAATATCACAGTTTCTCAGCACCCAGGGAGACTGGCGATTTTCCGATAATTTTCACATTTTCTTCTCTGATTTCTTCACTTGGCCCATCTCCCTGTATTTAAATCATCAGGGAATTGCTGAATTTATATACCTCTAATTGAAGACGACAGTTTAAGCATTTGGAAAGTTTCACACCTTCCCATAGAAAGCAGTCTTAGTTGCAGTAAAAACATTCATGCAAATTACTCTAATGGTAGCTGTTAGAGTTAGTGCTTTCTTGACTGGGTTAGGGTAATTTTACATGGTGGCTTAAAGAGACCAGTGATGGGTCGAGCAATAACCATTATCTCATCAAGTTTCTTATTCTGTGTTCTTCTATATTCTAATCACTCTTGTTCTTGAAGTCTTTCCAAATATAGTGTGGCGTGTAATGCTATCTCACAGTGTTTTTGTGGTCTTGCCCACCTCCGTCCAAACAAAGCATGGGGGCCTACAGGTCTGAGAGCTTCCACTGTGGTCAGGTCCAGTAAATCTCCCATTGTTCTTTTAGTCTGTGTTCCTTTTCTGTCTTCACAAGAGGTTACATTTCATCTCAAACTAAACCTAACATCCATCTTAGTTGCAGAGATTACTCCTAGTGTAACTGTGTGAGATATGTGTGTTTATTGCATATGGGTCTGGACGGGTTCCCTGTTGTCCATAACTGTTTTTATAGAAATATATATGTGGCTTGTACAGTATATATGCAGAAACCGTTGATAAACACCTTGACTTGAGTATCTTGGACAACATGTTGGGAAATAATTCCTAAATGCATTCCTGAAATACATTCCTGTTAGTGATGTGTATTGTTCTGTCCTGATTCATATTTCAAGTCATTATTCACTGTTTGAGTAGAGAAACATCTAGAATGTGAAAAATGTAATGAAAAGAACCATTTCTCAGTGATTTTCTCAAAGTTCAGTATCGAAGGTTAGAGGAGATGTCATGTGGTCAATGGCCAGCTAAGGAGAAATGTGAGAAGTAATTTATTTCTCTAATCTAAAGGACCAAACATGTCTTATAACAACACTTTGCTCATTCACTGAAGCATTGACATCTTTGCCCTGTCTTGTGCAGAGACAGTCTGGATAACACAGCGTTACAGATCTTTGACCAATTGATCTTTCCATATTGGAAACCATTATTTATATGTGGAATGTATTAATGAGCCCCAAGTTTATTCTGAAATAGTTGTGCAAAAACAGGCACTGAGAGAGGGGAATAACATGGAGTGCATCTATGGAACTGAGCCAAACTCTTCATTTCAGAAGGTTTTGAGTTTAAACTGAGATGTTCCATATTGTATAGTGACTGATGTTTTAATATTATTTTCATCAATTAAGTTTTAACTAAAGAGTCACAATTAATTTATTTTAATTAGTATATTTTATACCATTTTAGTTGAGTAAAAAACTTTTTGGTCATCATGCACCACAAGAGCTCAATCAGCACTTGTGTTGGGATAGAAACACTGTTGACTCACAGGTCTTGGACACCTCAGTACCTTTGCGGGAGTCTCACTATCATCAAAGTGTTGACTGTTGGCTTTTGAACATCTTTTGTGCACTTGGCTGAACATGAGCCTATCAGTCTCAGAGTTCACAGAGTGAGACATTAAATCACAACATTTAATCAGAATCAAATTTTTCTGTCATTATTTACTTATGACATGAATACTTCCACACACCAAAATCTTCTCCAAGTCTCTCTTTTTGCTGCCAAACCTTCTGGTATCTTCCCAGCAAATATTGTTCAGGATGATAAATTCTGTTTAATGCTGTAGTCATAATGTTGTGGGCTGGACCAGAACCACATCCTTCCTGACTCACCAAGGACATGTTCTTTCTCTCATGATGGCACAACCTGAATTCACACAAGACAATTCAGTATCACTGGGATATCTTTTAATGTGCATAATAACAATATTTTTTTCATGATTGTTGATGTTTATTGTCACATGAGTACAAGAATATACTGCATGACATCACACGAAGCCATCTGGTTGCTATTTGTCCCTAAACTAATGGTTGATGCACATGTTTTTATTTATTTATTTATTCCATTGTTTGTTTGTTTTTTTTTTTGTTTGTTTGTTTTTTTCTGAATTGATATCAGAATGACAGTATGTCTTTCTTTGGATAGGCATTATAATGGCTATAATGACAATAGTTTGTTCTGTAAATCATCATTTATGTTGCTCTGACTCATTATTTAGTGAATGAAACCACGGAGTCCCACATGTCTGTGTATGCTGATGCTGCTTTGACTCATTGAGGTAAATCTTTTTGTTGTATTGCACTCTGGGGATTTGCATGTTGCCTGAGTAAACCACAGTGTGGGTGTTTGTTGGCCTGTACAATGTGGTTTATGTGATCTGAATGGATTTCAAAAGCTTGGAGGTTTTTTTTTTATGCCTTGGCCTTTACTATTGCCATCAAACCTCATCATGTGCCATTAGCACAAAGGTCTTTGACGAACTGCCAGGAGGACTGCATGCTGGTGGTTCTGAAGGTCAGACAGCATCAATGTTGGATTGACGTCTTTGTTTTGCAGGGAGCACCAATCATACATGTTTCAGACCACTGTAACTAAAGTGGAAACATGCAAAGTGCTCTAGATTCCATACTTGTGTCTATCCCCCACCCACTTTCCCTGTGTGTTGTTACCCAGAGACATTTGTGTGTTCATTATAGACTGAGTCAGATACAGGCCTGGACTCCATCGTCAAAGCACCACTTCCTTCTCCTCACCAACTTTAGTTTGTATAGTGTTCAATGTTCAGGACAGACACAAGCCAGACCTGGGTCCAGTGGAACCACTACAGAGTATGTGCTCTGGGGTTGAGGTCAGGTCACAGCTACTGTGCAATGTAACTCATATAATGTGTATGTTGTCAATGCTGTATGATTACTTTGACAGCGGAGACAAAGGAGAAACTATTATTTGGGATAAATATTGAGGAATTGGGACTTGTTGAAAAAGTGTTAACTTTGACAAAAGTAGAATGTAGTATTCAAGGATCATGAGATACATAGCTGTTACTATTGCTAAAAAGACAAATAGGCTACCTTTGCACTGCAACTCAAAGTACTCAAGATGTATTTTATCATTTTTTTCTGGCCTATACTCCTAGCCTATGCAGTATTACAAGTTTGAATAGTCAGTTCAGTTGCATTTAACATAGTTATGACCATGACTTTCAGCCACACTTTTTCAGTCTTTGTCAGATATAATATAAACGTAACCTTATGTTCAATAGTATTTAGTATATAGTAAACTATTAGTAGTTTGTATTTTATTTATGCTTTGTAAGATAAAATGTGATGACTAGAACTTTGTGGTTTTATCAAATAGTGCACATGATCAATTTTCTGCAATCATAGATAATTCATGAAAAACATAAATAAAAAAGAACATAGTCATACATAGAGCTGGAGCTGAGCTGTTTTGACTGCCCTGGTGTTGACTGACTGATTGGCAGGATGACTGATGAACTCAGAGAGAAGCCTCTGTGGGGATAACGCGCTCATTAGCTCAGGGTCATGTGAGTGAACTTTGCCTCCTGACACCCCCCGCCCCAGCAGGACACCAGATAAGTCCCAAATCCTTCTAGTCTCCTTCTGCAACAA